TGCCAAAAGAACAAATAAAAAAGGGCTGGGGCTATGGCTCACTGGGAAGGCCCTGGGTTTAACAGCAAAAATAGAACAACAACAACTTTTAAAAGCTAAATAGCCACATTTCATAATAGATGCTCTCTTTAATCCAGTTAGCCCTTAAATAGCTCCAGATATTAGATATTAAGCTCCTTGGGTTTGGCCGCCTTTCATAGCTATGCCTTTTGTCAGCCTCCTAAGAGATTTTCTGAGACACTGTTTCTGTCAAATAGAATTCTTCACACAGGGTAGTTTTTACTTTTGAGTTATTGGCCAAACCACTGCCAGAAGAAATCACTGGGCTTTTCTGCTCCCTATTATTAACCACTTCATAGCAAAATCCCTATAATTCATATTATGACTTACTTTAATATCGGAACTATGCTCACACACAACATGAACACAAACTCACAAGAGAATGAGTTCATTTAACCTAACAGGAACTTAGAACTTAGAACTTCATCTTCAGATGATCATAACTCAAAATACTCAATTCCCTGTAATATCTAAGTTGGATCTTTTAGTAATCATTCATCACTACTTTCTACTTTCTCTTTTAAAAATCAATAAGCCAGGCAGCACACCTGTAATCCCAGCCAACCCTGAGGCTGAGGCAGGAAGATCACAAGTTCAGGGCCAACCTGGGCAATTTAGCAAGATGTAGACACAAAATAAAATAAAGTGGGCTGGGGATGTATCTCAGTGATAGAGCACTTGCTTAGCAAACATGAGCCCCTGGATTCAATCCCCAGTACAGGAGAGAGAGAGAGAGAAATTAAACATTAAGTCCTATTACCTATCCAACTAACCCTTCTAACTTGCTCCTACTTGATAACATTCTAGTATCTTCCTGACAAGAGGACCTACCATAATTATTGGAATTACATTTAAAGTATTCCTTGCAAGAGCAGCACTTTTTTCCCTATGGCATTCTAAACTCAAGGAGATCTAAGCATAAATCTAGAAAATGTTTAGGGAACAAAAGAAAAAAATAGATACTTCATGCAAATTCTAAAGCTAAAGCCAGATCTACCCCACACACATGCACATATATTCAACAGTGACCTGGTTTTGGCGGATTCTGTTTTAGGTCCACCTTGCAGAGCAGGCATGTTTATGACCCGGCACTTAATCTGATTTCGGGCATATACCACACATTAAGTAAGCACTGGCTGTATGGAGAAGAAAGGCATCTGATGTGACCATGTCACCTTACCTTCACATGAGACTCACAGCTACTGGTCACCTCTCTGTGAAAAGTGATCAGCATGGGTTCAGCAGTCACATGAACAGATGCAGGGAGGCTTCCAAAGTTCATGAGAAGTAGGACCATGCCAGAATGGCAGATGACCAATTTCAGTAATTGGGATGTACTTTACGCTACCCCTAAATTTAATTATCTCTAAAATTAATTTTAGCTCATTATCTGAACCAAAACTACTAAGTTCATTCTGGATTTCAAACCATTAAACACATTCACTTAGGGAGAATAAAGAATCTGTCACTAAGGGAGGAATGTATATATCAGCCCAAATAATAGAGGCTATTGACTCCTTTGCTCTTATGGGCTTTTTAGTAACTTCTGATTTTATTGTAAATGATGAGTTTTTTCACTGGTTTACAATGAGGTCCATCTTTTTTAAAATTTTTAATCAAAGATGTCATGTTTCCTTTAACTACTGCTGGAATTATCAGCAAGATGTTCTCCAAATCACCATGCCAGGGGAAGGCAACTGAGGCCTAGACTTTCTCACAGAAAACTCGACAGCCATCAATTATTATAACAGCTCATGCAAAATCAGCAGGAAAATAAAATTAGATATAGTGAAAAGATGTCAAGAAACATAAGGAAAATCAGAAAAAAGATTTTTAGAATATAAGAAAATGCTGAAAACATACAATATTTACAACATAAATAACCAATCCTTCTGATTTATTACAGCACTCACCTAACTCCATGATCACTATTCGCTGTTACTGACAAAATATCTCTGTACTTTAACCAAGATAATATTTCCCTGACTGACATCAGTAAACAGTACAAATGAGGTCTACAGAATCTTTGCTCTTCAAGACTTTTCCACACTCCCTCAGATACATCATTAGAGGTCACCTTCTTCAGTGTGAAGATCCTGACCACTCACCCTCAGAGTGCCAAGTGCATGTGCTACCAACCCCTCACCTGACATGCCTGAGCCACACTAAAAGCTCACACTTCAGCTTCTCTATTTCTTTTAATTACAATCAAAGGTCTCTGACTCTTTCCTCTTTTTCTTACCTAGGATCCCAAGTCTTGAATTCCTCTCCTGGTGTTTTTAAATATATTCTCCTTTTCATTTTCTCCACACTTGGGAACTCTCACCTCCATCAACAGCCTCTCCTTTCTAAGGGCGCTGCCTTTAACCTCTACCCTTACCTTCAATCTGTCAGCCCCTAGACAACTTTGAGTGGCTCACCTTGCAGTTTCCCGTGGGTCCCTCCACTCCTTTTCCTATCATTTCCTCAGTGTGAGCTAGCCTTCCCCTACTCAGTGTGGTCGCTTCCTGTTCAGCCTTCCAGCAAATCTCCATCAGCTCTGCTGAGCATTCATATACACGGGAACTGCTTCCTCATCCTTCAACTGACATCTTGTGGGTCTTCTGCTACAGAAGTCTGATGTCTTATGACAACTCCATTGTCCTTATTTTCTTTTTCCTTACAACTTTAAAATGGCCATTACAGATCCATGCATGAGCCTCTTTTTTCCATTTTTAAGTAGTATAATGATCATGAATGAACTCACCACTAAATCCAAATATTAGGTCACTATCAAAATTTACATCTTCCCATATGGGCTCTACTGAACATCATTCATTTGGGCCTCCAAAAACACAACTGCCATTCTAAGCTTTGTATCCATCATTCTCTCGAAAAAAGGAGGCAAGGGCAGGCATAGTGGCACAAGCCTGTAATCCCAGCACTCAGAGGCTGGAGCAAGAGGGTCACAAATTTGAGCCCAGCCTAGGCAATTTTACAACTTGGTGAGATCTTGTCTCAAAGTTTATAAAAGAGTGGGAGATGTAGTTCAATGCAAAGGCTATATATACGTTCAGTCCCTCGGTATGTAAACAACCCCCTAAAAAAGTATTTCAATGTATATGTAAAAAGCACAAGCTTATTCATATTTGGTTATGTTTGCTTATTTCTGTGTAATTATAAATTAATACAAACATTTTGGACTACAGTTTGATGATATCTACTAAATTGAATAGTCACAAAACTTTACAAAGCAGCAATTCTATTCCTTGGTATTTAGCAAAAGAATGTTTGCAAATGTGCCCCAGGAAACATGAATGATCACAGCAACACTGTTTGTAATTTTGTTTTTTAAATGAAAAACAAACAAATGGTCACTGGCAGAGGACTAGAGAAACAATTCGTTATAGCACACAAAACAGAATACTGTACAGCATGAAAGTCAGTGAACTACCATTAACCACACACCAATGGAGCCTACTGACGCAATGAGCAAAAAAACCTTAAAAATCCCAGAAGTGAATGGATACTACAAACTCTTTCACCAAGATTTAAAAAGTATCATAATTGTGATTTAACCTTTGCAGGAAAAAAAAAATCCTTCTTATCTTTTCAAGCCAGACTAATCTTGAAGGAGGGCCATCTTTTGTTTTATGTATCTCCCAGTGTTCAGATTAGCATCTTAAACGGAATGGGTGCCAGAGTAATTATCAATTGAATGATCACTGAATGTTAATCAAGGCATTTAATACAATTCAAATCTTCCCCCTTCTCCAACACTTTCATGAATAAAGTCACATGAAACTCTTCTCTACGTTGAACTGTACCTAATTCTGTATCTACAGTAGCACTACAGACTTCCAACAGATAACATTTCACCTTGTAAGAACTTCATCCTTCTTGTTGGAGTAAAACTAACATAAGGTTAAATCAACCTAGGCATAAGCGAACATATACCATGCAATCCTGCAAAAGTTCAACCTATAGCTAGCTCACTAAAGCAAAGAGACACCTGATAAATCACCATAATCTGAAACTGAGGTATCTCCAAAGGTAATCCATCCACTCCGTGTATAAATGAGCTATCAACATTACAACCTTAAATATGAGCAAAACCAGGGTTTTTAGGCTTCCGGAAAGGAAAGCCTTTATTTTTCAAAATATTCTATTTTTCCTGAGAAAAAGTATTTCCAGGGGAAAATATGAAGCGCGGCTGCAAAAAAATAACAGGAATGATATTCCACCAATCACTGGCTTCCTTATAACCCAACGAGGGCCGTGCGTAGTCTCCGTAGGTGATTATAGCTGAGTTACACTGCGGCCTCCCTTCGACCTTGGGAGCCCTGCTCACTCGCAGTTATTGGAGGTCTTCTGTTTCATTTACTATTAGGCTTTGTATCTGCAATGCTGCAACATACGATAGGAATATCAACTTTGTGAACCCACAGACCTGAAAGGATGTAAAAATGCTTCCAAAAAGAAAAGTAGAAGGGGGGAGGGGACTAAAGAGGACTAAACAAAGTTCAATTGTATCAAGACGATAAATTTATTAATATTGTCTTTGGCCACTACGTTTAGTAATCACTTCTGGGATATATAACTACCTACTAACACGCAATTTTTAAATTTAAAAGACGTCGAAGAAAAATTATTTTGTTGTTCGGGGTCAGGGGAACCACAGTTGAATATAAGGTACAATTTGCTAAATGTAACCCAGTAAATCAGAAATTTAATTTTCATAGACAAATTCTTACAGAGGTTTTTATTCATTCTCTCAGGCAACCCGATGGGGTCACTTAGTTTCCTGTCATTTGCTTCAGGTCCATTATGTAATGCTTTCCTCAGCTTCAGGTCTCTAGTTTAAGTAGCCCTTCGTGTTTATCATAGAATTGCCACACAGTAACCGGCCATAACTTTCAAAAACAGGCTAAAAGGTGGCTTGCGGGTGTGTCTATGCACAGTACAGGCTTTTTAAAAATTCTGCTGGTGTCATTAGTTCTGCCCGCTTCCTCCCAGGTTTCCCATCTCCTCCTCCCCCAGCCTCCCGGGGACCCGATCTGCGGGCAGCACCGGCTCGCTGCGGGGAAGCACGTCTCGCCTGCAGTGCAAACCCGGCCCCCTCAGACCAGGAGGCAGCCGGGCCCGGTCCGGGAGCGTGGACCAGGCTGCGAGAGGCCCCAGGGGCGCCCCCAGGGCCGCCGCAGTGCACGCGCACACGGAGCCCGCGGCGCAACTTCCCCGCCGCTCCCGGCTCCCGGCAGCCCGAAAGGTGCGGCGTGGGCGTCAGCTCGCGCGCGGCGCTCGGGTCCTCCGCTGACAATGACATCAGTCAGTCTCCCGGCCCCGCTTCCCTCCCGGTCAGCCTGGGGCGGGGGCACCGGGCTCTGGGTGGCGGGGGTTGTGGGCACCAGTGCCCGCGGCCGGAATTCCCTGCAGCCAGGAAAGGGCGACCGCGGTCGGGGAAGGGGACCGTGAGAGCGACACCCCCTCCCACCCAGGATGACACGGCCGCTCCCACGTCCCCGCAGCCAGGCTGTCCGGCCGGGGGCGACCTCGGGGAAGGCGATGCCCCGGGGCCCGAAGCCGCGGCCGCCCAGCCCTCCGCGCGTCTCTCGGGGTCCCCGGGCGCGGGGCGCGCACAATGTCCCCGGGCCGCGGCGCGGGCAGCGCGGGGTCCGCCCAGGCCTCCCCTGAGCGAGCGCCTGGGACGCCTACCTGAGGGCGGCGGCGGATCCTGCGGCTCCAGGCTGGAGGCGGCGGGCGGCCCCGGCCAGCGGAGGAGCAGAGCACCGGCGCAGCCTGCGCGAACAGCCGCGGTCCCCGGCTCCGACAGCGGCGGCGCCCCCAGTGTCCGCGGCGCCGCAGCCCCTCCTCCCGCAGGCGGGGCGCGCTGGGGGCGGTGCTCAGGGCTCCCCGCCCCCCGGTTCCGCGTGTCAGGCCGGCTGGAGCAGAGCCCGGATCCGTCCGCAGAGGGGAGTCCTCGTGCGCGGAGATCACCCGCGGTGGAGACCCGCGCCGCGCCTCGGAAGCACCGGCGCCGGGTCCAGCCTAGCAGGGCGGCCTGGGCGTGGGAGGAGCGGCCCGCAGTGACTGGTGCTCTGGCCTTGGAACAAGCCCTAGAAGCTCCACCTGAGAGCTGGCTCCTAAGGGAGTGGACTCCCCGGCCGCCTCCGATTCCCTACCCCTTGGTGCCCTTCTGAGGCCTTCATTCAATGAACCTGCACTGAGTGCCTGCTCCCTGTCCCTGTTGCTCAGGGCAAGAACTTCCTAGGCCCAGACAAACACTTGGGTTCTGTGGAGAAAGGGCCGGCGGGCCCACCCACCTCTCTACCCACCTACCACCCCTGAAGCCCATCCACACTGAAGCTCTTCCTGGCCTGTGACCAAGAGCAGATTGAGCTAAAGACAAATCTGCTGAGAGAGACGAAGTAATTTAAATATTTGCACACACGTTTCTTCTGTAAAGACATTTCTTGTGGAAATGTCAGCATGTCAGGAAATTTTGGCCATCACCATCCTCAGAGGGGAACATTCCAGAGAATGTTGACTGGGCCCAAGGGGAAGTACTCCAGGGCAGTACCGGGTGTCTTGTGAGCTCTCTGGGGGGTTCGGAGTGGACAAGTGTGAGGGGAGCCTTTAAAAGTTGAAGATCTGGCTCCCCACTGAGGTGACTGTGATGGCCTTTCACCACTCTCTGGGCAGATAAAAGCCAGATTTGCCATGCAACATAGCCAACCGTCTGCACTCTTTTCCATGCACTTCCTCCTGAATCTCCTTTCTCACCACGTGGGTTAACTTCTTCCACCTCATCTAGCATCGGTTCTCATAGCCTCCAGTCACAAGAGCACAGATGCCAGACCCTGTGACACAAGGGGCAGTGAGGCAGTCTCATCTTCACTTCTCTCCTGTGATGACAGTGCCCTCAAGGGACCTATCGGGCTGCTGGCCTTCACTTGATCATAGCTGTCTTTTTACTCCTTCCATCTGGTCTCCCCTGACAGAAACTCCATTGAAAGAACTTTCCCACACATACACAAAACAAAAAATCACAGAAGTGTTAAAAGACATAGAGTACACACAGTCTCTAACCCAAAGAAATGGTTCTCAAAGCTTTGCGCTGAATCTTATTATACCATTATAAACTATGAGGGAAAAGAGGGGCCTAGCTCAAGCCCAATCTCATATTTTCACTTAAGAATGCTTGTACAGGGTTCATTCTGTTCCATAGCATCTGTGGATATTTTATTATTTTAAAAAACAAAAACAGGTTTTGATCATCACGGGTAAAGTCTGCTACCTGTCTCACTGACTAATGGTCAAGTAAGATGTAATGTGGCTCTACACCCATCCATCTGCGGACATGGGTGGATGAGAGAGCTGGCTGTACAGAGCTGCATACCTGGTGATATTCTCCACTGTTTGTGTATCACGGTATTTTGAAAACTCAGACTGGCATAGATATGTAAACATGGGGAAGGGGCTTTTCACTGCTTCCTGAGCTATGGCAGGGCTATTGCTCAGGAAAGTGCCAGGCAGTAATGTTTTCATTAAGTGTATCATTTTTGCTGAGAGTTTAAATCACAAGTCATTTGTTGCCTGAAAGGATGTCTGTTTCCCTGATCTATCTAAAGAAAGATAATGTTTTTAAATACCTGGTGCTACCAAAGCTCTAATTCCATTCCATTGCCCAGGCTGACCTCTCATGAATCATAGTACCCACCTTCAGTTCATCCAATACCTAGTTTATATTCATTGCAGTTTTATCGGTACTGTTTTAGCTGGGTGTATTAGTGAGTGTATTAGGAAAGCTAATGCTTCGTTGAAAGATACAATCCCAGTGCCTAAGAAGTGAGGAAAGGAATCAGCCCGCTGCAGACAGGCACGTCTGTGCACCCCGTACCGAGGTCCTGAGTCGCGCGGAAGATGCCGAATCACCCCCCTCCAGACAGGCAGCCACCTGGTTCCACACTACAAAGACGCAGAGAACACCAGACCACCAGACCAAGGTACTGAGTCCCGCTGCCCCCAACCCAGAGGTAGGGGCTTCTGAGCCGCCGACCCACCGCTCCTGGTCCAGAGGAAGGGGCTTCCAGGTCACCATCCCTCCCGCTGCTCCCAGCCCAGAGGAAGGGGCTTCTGAGCCGCCATCCCGCTGCTCCTGGTCTAGAGGAAGGGGCTTCCCAGCCACCATCCCTCCCGCCGTTCCCAGCCCACAGGAAAGGGCTTTTGGGTCACCATCCCTACCGGTGCTCCCAGCCCCTGTCCCACCTCTCCCAGCTCAGAGGAGGTAATCCGTGTAGGTGCTAACAGCCCCCCCCCCAGGTCAAAATGAGAAAACACATAAATAAGTCTCAAAACCAGACTTCCAGATCACCTACAGCAACCCCAAAGGGAAATGAGATGGAACACTCTGATAC